TCCCCTTGCAACAGTAGTATGAAAGATTTGACGGTACTCAGCATTGAGTAACTTTCCTTTCCCAGCCTCCAGTAAATCGTTACCAGCTGGTGTTTCCTGCTTTGAATCCTTGTTGAACTTGATAGGAGAATCTTCCAACATGTTCTTGACATAGTCGTCCATGCGGATCTTGAGTTTCCTTTCACCGAGATATCCAAAGTCATTCCAAGATATCTGTGTATCTTTCCTTTGACGACTTTACATGCCTGGATCAAACCATATCTCATGTTCAACCACTCAGCAAATTCGTCATTTACTTTCAGATCCATGTGACTTGACATAAGATCGTCAACATGAAATCTGATAGTTTGCTGTTTTTCATCAATAACTTTGTTAGCAACACACAGGTCATACGGATTGAAAACAAATCCCTTTGCCTCCAAATCACTTTGAAATTGATTATAGAATAGGAGGCTCGATTGTAACATCCCATAAATAGCACGTAGTACCCGCACATAGGTTCAGCCCTGACATTGTAGCTTGCGCATACGTTTGCCCAGATCGAGTGCTTGAGGCGTTTCAGGCTCAAATACAATCTCTTCTTCTGGCGGTTCTTGTAGATCCTCCAGATCAGTAACGAGGCTCCCAATATCATCGGTTCCTCTATCGACATTTTATTGATAGTGATACAAATCGGCCACAATAGGTTCTTCCTCTTCATTGCCTTCATCACCCGAATCGTCGTCATCTGATTCATAGTCATCATCCCCGTGGAATCTGACAGTGAGTTCCGGCATATCGTCGACATCATTGTCTGCATCTGCCAAGAGCTCATTTCTTTCGGAGTCATCGATATCATCGAATTGTCCACGTAGGTTGAAATCACGTTCATCTTCTTCTTCAGGTTCATAGTTCTGATCGAAGGCTTCCTCTAAGTAACCTTGTTCCGTGTCATCCACTCCTGCGATTTGATCGCCATCTTGAAATGTCTCCAAATCTCTCTTCTTATCAAAGAACTTCATGGAAGTAACACCTTCGGCAGCAGCCCAAGCTTCAA